ACAATAAGATTGTCCTTGCAGACCGTGTGAAGGTCTTGGCTTTCATGGTGCAGTACTGAAGTAGCTTACATCCTTGCCCCTTCCTTATTTAACTTGTGTTGCTACTCTTTTTAAGGAGGAATAAAAAGAGAAAAGGGAAAGGAAAAATAATTATAAATCCCATTATTTGTATATCCATATCTAACAAGAGAATTTTATTGAGGTGTTAAGGCTAATATAATTATTTTAGCTTGATGAGGGAGGTACGTATTATTTTAAAACCTCGAGCAAGCTTATGGGAGGTTTCTGAAATTATCCCTTTACATATTATGCCATCATGGAGAGAGACCTTGGTCAGATAGAGCTTCGACAGGAGGTGTAAGGGACAAGTATACTTGTCACAAACAATAAAAGATTGCAAATAAGCTAACAAGGCAAAAAGTTAAGATGTAAAGATAGGAAAATGCGATGTAATTCTAACACAGTTGATGCGTGAGCTTACATGAACAATAATTGAATGTAACATTTCTATTACAAAAAATGTACAATCAATTTATAATGAATTACAGCGTGCTTAAAAGTTATTATATCATTAAGGAATGGTTACCGTGAAGGTGAGCAAAACAATGGGAAAAGAGATATAGAGGGTTATAAATACGCTATTTAGATTGCTATTTTTTTTTTTGGAGTTTTTATAGGAAAATTTGTTGTAGTGATGTGATGTATGTGAGTTAGAAAATTTGTTAAAAAATATATTCACAAAAAATATAAAATATTTTTAGAGAAAAATTGCAATCCAAACAAAATATGTAACACGATTATACAACCAACTATTCACTACTCCTAGAGTAGTTGACCACCAAGAGAAACCTTTATTTAGGTGTATGTTAAGGGATTTGCATTTTAAAAAATTCAAATTTCCCTGAAAAAATTTGTTAGAAGGTGCGTAGATATACACATCCGTTTGGTTAGGTGGTGATTTAATCCCTTCCGAATTTTCCTTGGGACCTTTTTAGATCCTCGCTTCCCCTAGAATAGAGGAAAAGTAAATTTAGGATAGATTCTATCTATGTCCAGATAAAAAAATATATGTATGACACGATTATGCAGCAAAGTTGCGGGAATTTGGTGCTTCTAATCTCCAGGCCCGACCCGTCTCGAACCACCAAACCTGCAAACTTTCCCTTGTAAGCGCATTCGAATAGCGCCTCATGCCGCTGGCTGTAAAATGTAAAATCATACGCTTTCGGCGGGAAACGAAAATGTTAATGTTTGTCAAGGGGGCACGAGGCATGTATAATATATATACATATATATATATAGTAGAATGAAAAAACCTTTGCTGAAAATTTAAAATGTTGATTCGTACAATCGAATGGAGCAAGTGAGCAACGTGGGCAATTTCTGTAATTAACCCATTTAAGAGTTTCAAAGATACATTGGATTAGGGCTGGCCCAACAAACTTCACAGGTTTTAATTCTGACGAGCCCGTGGCTTTTTAGCACACTGGATTCACAGTGTAAACCGAAAGACGCCGGATTCACCGCCATATTTCGACAAGCCTGTGGTCAGCACACTGGATTCTCCCTCATCTCATCTTCTCAACTAATCTCCCCTGTTTTTACAAATACCCTATCTATTCAGTTTCCTCTCAACTTTCGTCTCCTTTTGCCATTTCGGAAATCAACAGAAGCTTCTTCGGCATGGCTCTTCGAACTCTAGTCACCAGAAAAGCCCTAGGCAACTCAGTAGCGTTCCGGCAACAGCTGCGCGGCTTGCAGACCCACACGTTGCCTGATCTTCCCTACGATTATGGAGCTCTTGAGCCGGCGATAAGCGGAGAGATCATGCAACTCCACCACCAGAAGCATCACCAGACTTACGTCACCAATTTCAACAAGGCTCTTGAGCAGCTTGATGATGCTATTAACAAAGGCGACTCTCCTACTGTTGTCAAATTGCAGAGCGCCATCAAATTCAATGGCGGAGGTTCATTCCTTTTTCCCCTTTGCGCATAAGATTCTGCTTGAACTGTCACGTCTGTCTTGTATTTGGAAAACTATGAGTTTGTCTTGCTGGCTTTTACGGTAATTGCTGGAATTTAGGAATAATCAGGCATTACAGTGATATTTCTGCGGTTAAAAGAGCGATACGCTATTGTGCTAGCTCAGATGTAAACAATATGCGTTTGTGATTGCAACATTTGGAATTTAGGAACAAGGTGCTGGACTGCGTGTCACTGTTAAAATCTATTGAAAAAGTTCAGTAAACTTTCACTGGCATTTTAGTGGGGGCATGTAATTTGCGTTAATCTATATTACTTGGTAAGTAGGCATTTATGAGGGAAAGCATGTCCGTGTGCACAAAAATAACCTTTGGTGAGAGGGACACTTTCAAAGTAATCACGTCTTAATGGGCTAGTTTCCAAGTTATAGGAGTTTGATGCATGAAAGTATACACATTGACATAATTGTAACTCAAAGAAGCTTGAATTAGGTTGTCGGGGGCAAATGCACGGTCATGAGACTGTTAAGAAGGTTTTGATTGATTAATTTATTGAAGTTAGATGACCAATGGGGCTTTCTAGCCCTTTAAGTTCAAAATATTTACATCTTCGAGTCTACTGAGTGCTACAATAAGTGCATGGTAAAAAATAACACCTTTATTGTGAAGATTAGCATGGATACAACATCATTTCATACTATACATAACTACCACATTGTTATAAGTTTGTAAAGGCCCATGATTCTGTGCGAAACATTGTTGGAAAAATTTTGCTTGGGATACTAAAAATTTTGGTGATGTTTGATGTATGGGGTTAGATTTCAGCTATCAACCTTGCTTTGCTCTCAGCTTGATGGCTTGCTTGGCTGTATCAATGTGACAGATTATTTAATATCTACTGACATTTTTTAACTATCTTTTTTGTTTTTCAGGCCATATCAATCACTCTATTTTCTGGAAGAATCTTGCACCCGTTCGTGTAAGTTTATCATCTGAGGATTGTCTTTTTCTTCTGTTCATTATGCTAATATGCATGCCAAATGATTACAATCTCATTGCAGGAAGGTGGTGGTGAGCCTCCAAAGGGTTCTTTAGGCTGGGCTATTGATAACCATTTTGGCTCTTTGGAAGCCTTAGTACAAAAGATGAATGCAGATGGTGCTGGTTTACAGGGATCTGGTTGGGTGGTAAGTTTTATCCATGTGAATCAGTGTTGCCCGTGGCAAAACTTGCAATTGGCTCCTGGTGCTTTTGAAGGTAACATTTTCTTCACGTTCTCATTTTAAATAAACTTGGCAGTGGCTTGGATTGGACAAAGAGCTGAAACGCCTTGTGGTCGAAACGACAGCGAATCAGGTACTTGATTTTGGATTTGTCTTTTAGCTTCTAGCTGAAAATTTTGGCCATTATTGGATGTATATTCAACGCTCAATTCTTGCATTACTTGTTCTAACTTCAATTTTGGAGAGTTTATGGATGAGTTTTAACCTTTGAATTTTGTTTTTTTCAAGTCCACAGGAATGGCTATCTGATACAGTAGCATCTATATCAAAAAATTTTCATTGCACTATGCTTGTGTTTATTCTGGAATTGCTTTAGCATTCTGAATCAAATGTCTGCTTAGTCAAACCGTGGCAGTCTGGTAGACCCATCAAGCCTGATTGAGTTGCCAACTCCTACTCTCTTCCCCATACAATCCCCTCATACAAACCTTGCTAGATCTGACACACACAATTCGTTCGTTTTACATAAAAGATTTTTCACGGTAAAGTGGTTTAAATATTTTAAATTTCTTGTGGTGAGGGGCAAATGTGAGACATTCTGTTCATTTTTCAAAGAACAAGTTTAATGCTGGCAAGTTCATGTCTTGTACTTTTATTTTTTCAATTCTGAGTGGAGCCTTAATTTTCCTGCTGAAGGAATACTAAATGCCTACCGCATGTAGTGTTCCTGTGTTTTCTCGTAAGTATGAAATCTTGTAATTAACACCAATCTGTTTCGACTGTGTGCTACTATTCTGCGTAACTCTGAGCTGCAAGAGGCTAAGAAAAGATTTCAATCTTCTGAGCTGATATTTACACTAGTTCCATCCTGTAACATGTATAAGCAAAGTAATGAAGTAAGCAAGCTGTGGCCTCATAACGTGTATTAATGCTTCCTTGCAGGACCCTCTGGTTACTAAGGGATCCAGTTTGGTTCCTCTGCTTGGTATTGATGTCTGGGAACACGCTTACTACTTACAGGTTATTTATCTCCTTATTTTCCTTCCTTTCCTTCCTTTTTTTTTTTACCTTTTTTGTCATCTTTTTTCCTTGGGTTTTGCAAGGAGTTGCTTAGTTTTTGTGAGTTGCAGTACTAGTTTGTCCACCCTTGCATGGAAGTTTCGGCCTGTGAATCTATGTACTTGTTTGCTTAGCGTGAACTTTGAAACATTACAATCCTCTAATGCTGAATACATTCATTACCTCCTTTGATGCAGTACAAAAATGTAAGGCCTGATTACCTCAAAAACATATGGAAAGTCATCAACTGGAAATATGCAAGTGATATTTATGAGAAAGAATGCCCTTGATCAGACACTTGCTGAACTGGAGAACTGGCCTCAAGGGAGATGGTTTACCAGCTCTCTACCCAGTTTAGATAGGCAATAAATTCTGCAACTTTTGTGGCATCCCTAAATTTCCCGTTGCAATGTGAACTTAATGATGTATTATTAGCGTTGGATCCTAAATGCATATTTAGTTTAGGTTGTTGCCTGCTGTTCTAAAGCTTTCAGGATCATCTTAATAATATCAACCCTCCCTGTGGTTTCAGTTTCTGGTTTGCCACAAAGTACGCAAGATTGCGAGTTGCCTTCAATCATGGGCCATACATTTGATTTGGCAGAACCTTCTGGATTTCTTGTTCTTGGCACTGAGTAAACATTGCTTTGAAAAGTACATGAATTGACGACTGGCAGTTTCCAAACTTACAGAATAATTTGGCTACTTCTGAATATTTTCTGAAACCATGTCAGTTGACGTTAACATGTAATATATTGACATCAACGGGCGCAAAATCCATGAAATAACAAGAAAAGAAGTACTATAAGATTATGGGTCAGTTTCCCCTTTTTCAGAGGCACAGTACTAGGCTATGAATTTCCTACTGTCTAATTTTGTGCGTTTCATACGCATAGCTTCAACATCATACAAGTCTGAATTGGAATTATAGAACTTTCAAAGAATAGTTTCTATGACGTTGGGTAGAAAGACCTTCCAAGGTGAACTACTATTTGGTAGAAACCAACGCTGTGTTCACATTAGGAATCTAATGGAAGTGTAACTAGACATATGAGCTTAACGCTTAGAAGGAATGGCATCATTGCAGTGCGAGGTCGATTTCAGCAATTTAAAAGGCCACATCTGCCTTGGCGAACCCACCCAAGACTTCTTTGTCTGCTAGGATCTTAGGGTAGCTCCATAAATTTTCATCGTCATTTGAGGACCTCCACTTGCATCTCAACTGACCGTCAACCCTGCTGTTATTTAGGATGTATAGACTGCATTTTGAACTCTGTTGAACACTCAAACCATCTTAAAAATCATCTTATTGAACACTGTTGGAGCGCTTTAAAAGTTTTTATACATTCTGTCATGGGGCAATTCGTTTTGATGGCATTGGGAGCGATATGTGATCTACTGGCCACGTATCCCTCCTGTCACAATAGTTCCAAATTCCCGTTCTTAGGTGACTGCTCAATATGCCAATTAGATCAAGGATTCAGCAGGCAAAGTGTCACAAAGCTTTCATGATGATGATAATCAATTATTTGCATCACCAAAGCCAAGAGATGGGGTTTCCCACAAAAGTATATTCGCCCAGGCTGTGAGATCAAAAGTTTCTAAAGCAATAGGAGGATCCTGATCTGACAAAGAACACAAGGGAGGAGAAAACGCTACCTCGTGCAAGGTGTTCATTATCGCCCCAATGGATGGAGAATTAAGTTTAGCACGACTTGCTACCTGAACCAGTGAACCGTCAAAAAGCAGAAACGAAAAAAGAAAACACAAACTTCGATCACCTTATGGATAAGAATTTGATAACAATCGAAGGCCTAGACATACACATTCCTTGAGTACCTCATCAATCTTGATGTATCCAACTGGCAGTTTGGGGTCACTTTCATCGACCATTAGTCTTATCAGTTTTTCAAGGTTTCTTCCATTGCCGTCGCTTATCCACCCCAATTGCTCAGCCAAATTCAACATGCGTGCAAGGTGAGATGCTTGGTGAAGAGGTCCTGTCCAAAGAGGTCCCGAGACGATTAGCGAGTTGGGAACCTACAATGAAATAACATAAATTTAAAAGTTCATCATAGAAGATTTTTGAAGGGCGTGTCATTCAGCAGAAAGAGAGCTGCATTATTTAACTCATCACACGTGCAAATGCTTCTCTTGAACCAGTTCACTGCCTAACACTCACAAACATCTCAACACAAGAAGACACGGGTGGTAAGATAAGGTACTCACACATGCATTAGTGATGCAGGGGCATCTGATCTGACCAAGTTGATCCCAAGCAACTGTTTGAGAATTTCCACACTGAATGCAGTGGCTGATGAAGTTATAGGTGCTGTAATAAATCATGCAAATCACCATCAATTACAGAGATCCCAAGAGAATCAAACACGACTCACAAAGAATCAAACAATTTTTTACCTGCTATCAGGAAGCCTTCCACGCTTAATCTGAAGCATTGCTCTAAAAACAGGGCCGTGATACGAGTAGTAGGAAAACAACGGCACAACATGGTAACCAAGCACAGAAGCCTCCCTAAGCGCCCCACCTATAAGCATCCGCAAACCAACCTCATTTGAGTATGGCATTGGCCGAACATATGCTCCATATGCAGCCAAAGAACTAGAAGAAAGCAATAACACAGTAAATGATTCAAACATAAATCAATGTAGGAATAAAAGAAAATCATAGGAATGTGAAGGCCAAGCATACTGTTGAGGGCGGTGGCCACCGGATGAGTAGCCATCAGTAGAAGTAATATACAACAAACCGTCCAATTTGACAGCCCCAATAGCAGCTCTCAAGAAGCTAGAATCACTTCCAAACGAGTCAACATCGACCAGATCAAAATAATCCTTTTCCAGATAACGCTCCGTCATTACTCTATTGGCATCCGAATTCATCACAACCCATCTTTCTTCCGAAATCCGGGACAAATTTCCCGAAATAATCCCTCTATAGTTTTCGTTTGCGTCATTAGCTAACACGAAGTCGGCTTTTGCCTCTACTAAGTACCTGAGGGACCGAATTCCACATCCACATAGGGCATCGAGAACTCGAAGACTGCCATTGGATTGCTTATAGAGGGCTGCCGAGAGAACGCCGAAGTCACGACCGGTGGCGCTCTCATGGCGGAAGAAGGTGTCTCCGATGTCAAACTGAAGACCCCTTTCGGTTTGGTATTGAGATTTGCACGCTTTGGGAAAAACGGGTTTTAGGGTTTTAGGTTGGGAATTGGCAGGGTAGAAAGGCGGGGATAGAGGTTGCAGTTGCAGGGGGAGCGATAGCATGGCGGGAAATGACCAGAATATGCCGACCGTTACTTAGCGGTGGTTTATAGTTTGGCCTTTCTGGGCAGCTGCAGGGGTAGTTTGGGCTTTTTAGGTGCCTTATCTACTCCATGCAGTGAAAGCAAGAGTATCTACTCCTACGGGTCATTCTCTAAACTTCTAATTATACTCTTGTTAAAACAAGAATAAAAATCTGACTCTACTCATTTAATCACATAGATTCTGCTAACATAACTACTTGTAACCACCTAAGTATTATAATAAGGGATAATTGCAGAAACCTCCCCTGAGGTTTCTGACATTTGCACTAACCTCTCTTATAATTTGAAAAATTACACTAACCTCCCCTGAGGTTACTAATCCTTTGCAGATTCAATCCAAACGATTAAAATATTATTTTAAAGAGCGAAATTAGAATTTTTTACCAAATTTATCCTTTGTACTACATGTCCAATGAATGACAAAATACTACAAATCAATTAACAATTAATAAACTTTAAAGAGTATAGTTTGTAGACAAATATGCATTACCTATTTAAAGTACCGGCTCTTTATGGGTATTTTACTTTCAAACATTTAATTTAATACAAATATTTACACTCAAATTCATATTTGTATTTACTTTCAAATATTTAATTTTTGTTAAATACAAAAACTACCAATCTCTCTTCCGTAAAAATATTGATATAACACTTTTTCAATTTTAGTTACAAACATTTATGTATTTAACATAAATTAAATGATTCAGAATAAAATACCATAAAGAGCAAATACTTTACTCATGTAATGGATGAAAGCCATAAAGAATTAATACTTTATAGGTCATTTTTTTAAAAAAATATTTAATTTATATTAAATAAATAACCTACCGATTTCCTTTTTGCAAGAGTATTACTGTAACATTTTTTGAATTTTACTAACAGACATTGATATATTTATCATAAATTAAATATTTGAAAATAAAATATCCATAAAAAGCCGGTACTTTAAATGAGTAATGCATGTTTGTCTATAAAGAGCCGATAACTATTTAAAGTACTGGTTCTTTAAGGGTATTTTATTTTCAAACATTTAATTTAATACAAATATTTACGCTCAAATACATATTTGTATTTACTTTCAAATATTTAATTTTTGTTAAATACAAAACCTACCAATCTTTCTTCCGTAAAAATATTAATATAACACTTTTTCAATTTTAGTTACAAACATTTATGTATTTAACATAAATTAAATGATTCAGAATAAAATGCACATAAAGAGCGAATACTTTACTTGTGTAATGGATGAAAGTCATAAAAAATTAATACTTTATGGGCCATTTATTTTTTTAAAAAATATTTAATTTATATTAAATAAATAACCTATTAATTTCTTTTTTGCAAGAATATTACTATAACAATTTTTGAATTTTGCTTACAAATATTGATATATTTATCATAAATTAAATATTTGAAAGTAAAATACTCGTAAAGAACTGGTACTTTAAATGAGTAATGCGTGTTTGCCCATAAATTATACTCCTTAAAATTTATTAATTGTTAATTGATTTATAGTACTTTGTCATTCATTGGATATGTAGCACAAAGGGCAAATCTGGTACAAAATTCTAATTTCACTCCCTAAAATAATATTTTAATCGGTTGGACTAAATTTGCAAAGGATTAGTAACCTCAGGGGAGGTCAGTGTAATTTTTCAAATCACAGGGAAAGTCAGTGCAAATGTCAGAAACCTCATGGGAGGTTTCTGCAGTTATCCCTTATAATAACTATCTATAAGTACTTTTAAATATTATAACTACTAAATTATTATTAAAAAGATAAATATATATAAAATTAATTCATTTTAAGTATTTCCAAATTGTGCACATGTGCTCTTAGCACTAATAATTGGACAGTCAAATTTAGATAAACAAATGATAGACTAGTAATTTGACAGTTTTTCTTGCCTTTGGTCTTGCTAATCTATTACCTCTAAAATAAATTTTCTTTTTATAATGTGTGTGCTAGTATTTGGTAATTAATGGCATTACCCTACACAAGTTTGGATAGGAGATTATTTGGAACACTTTTTGTTAAAAAAAAAAATTTATAGCACTTTTTGATATGATGTATCTAAAATAAATATGTGAATAGAAAATGTATCAATGATATAAGCAAATTAAAAAAATGCAAATAATCCACTGTCCAAGGCTCCAAGCACAACTAGTACTAGTACGTAGGGTTAATGCCGTCAATTGACAATGATGGACAGTAGGCGGTCCATGATGACAAACATGGACTAGCTCACACGGGATCAAGAAACAGGGAAAACAAAACAACCGTGCGATCCTGCACATTGCAGAATTTTGTCTCCTTCACTCTGCTCACCTCATCTGCTTCTTCCTCTCTCATAATGGTGGATTCCATCCTGTGGGTTGTTGAGAAAGGAGAACACTTCTTGGAAGCTTGCTAATATACCAGGTGGTTACTTTTTGGTTGCTGAAAATAAGAGAAAACAGGCGGTTACTTTTTGGTTGCTGAATAAGGGAAAACAATCGATCCGTTGGTGCTTATTAACCCCCTCGCGGAAGCAAACAAAAGAATGCGATTTCAGTTTCAACACCCAATTAATATGGTCAACAAGAAGAAGAAGACAAAAATTAAGAAGAAAGGAAGAGTGGACATCCCCCTTTGCATTCAATGATAAGGTAAAAGTTCAAGTCTTTTTTTTGGTCAGATTACATGAATCTACTTCGATCAGTTTAATCTCACAAGCATTTGTTCTCTTACCATTATTTGTTCATTTACAGCGTTGATTATATATTGCTGCAATACCCCAGATTGTGGTTATCTGGAAAATTTAATCCCTTTTTGGGGAAATAATGATAATTACAGAAAATGTGTTCAAAATCAGCTGTGTGGGTTCTTTTGCACTAAACTATCTTACTTGGGTATATAGGATGTTAACCTTCAATTATCCGACAACATTATGGCCAAAGATGGAAAAACGAGTTGGCAAAATATGTTGGACATAGTATTCATATTTTGTTATTGCACGTCGTAATGTTAGCTTTTGAATCAATGAAAGCACTTCATTCAATTTGGGTTTAGAAGATTAGAAGACATGGAAAATACTTAGATGGACCTAGCTTATCTCTTTGTGGATCATCTAGTCAAGATTGTACTGCATCACCTTCTACATGGTCCAACCAAAGAATAAACTTATTTATTAGATATTGTGGGGCACTATTGACCACGTGGCCCTACTTCAGTTGGCAGGTCTGCTCTACCTAAGTATTTCCTTACTAGAGAGGAATGCTTTTCCGACAACATTATGGCCTTTCGTAATGCTGTATTTCTATTCTGCCCCTTTTGAATCATGAGTCAGCTCGAGATTAGTGATGATACAACTGAGTAACTTGTGCCACTTGATGCATGATATGAGTGAAGTTGGTGAATGGGGGTATATTGGGCAAATTACTCTTTCTATATTCTGTGACAACCATTGTAGCCTTTGCCCATTTAGCATATAAATAGAACTATGGTAAGTCCTTTATTGTGATTTACTGCTATTAAGATCTATCTGTTTTGGTCTAAAATGTGGTAACATCATCATATATGCATAAGTGTAATGCTTGCTTTCAACATGTTTGACTTAGATGGATGTCTAGATGTTAATGTCATGATAATTGTGATTAAAAAAAATCCAAATTCTTCTTGGTCACTGTGAAACTTAATTTGATTGTGCTGGGATATTGAGCACATCCCATACTTGCCTCCGTTTGTAGTATAGAGTGCATGCCAAGCAATTTGTTTAGCATGGTACCTGTGATGCACAAAAACTGAATCATCATAAAACATGTCTTGTATATCCTGCAAGTACAAAGAGTTGGCTCAAGTGCAACCTAAGCTGATGACATGTTGAAACAGGTCCAAGGTCCAGAGTTTGTAATAAATTCCACTGCTGGTTGCCTTCTTGAGAATTTGGACACTTTTGGGCTTCCAAAGTTATTATTCAAGAGCTTTTTTTTTTTAACTGGAGAAAACCCATGCGATCAGACAAAATAAATTTAACTTTGTATTGACTTTCAGTTGTTTATTTTACATCCTTGCAATAGCCAAATATCTCCACTGTTTTTACTTCGTTTCTTGTATCATACATACCTTAAAAGTGGGTGTCTAAGAAGTCTAAATTGGGCACTGGAGTGGCAGAAACGAGATTTTAATGACTCTTTATATTTAATGCAGATAGTGTTTAGTGAAGGGGCATTTTGTAATTATTGAATTGCATCAAGCCGAAATATAGTGAATATTTTGGCCTCTTCAGAAGGAGTGAAAATACTGTTTTTGTAATTTCCATTTGTGGTCATGAAGTTTTGGAATGGTTTAGATAGTTTATGGAATTGATGCTAATTGCATGATTTTCATTTGACACAATTTCCAAGAAAGCAAATAAATTACAATTTTTTCTGATAATTAGTGAAGGATTTTTTGTGAATTTAATGAACAAAACACTCAGCAGATAGACGTGGCTGAAATTTCCCAACAAAGAGTGGCATTAAATGCACAGGTGTCTTCATCTGAAACAAAATTGTATAAGTTTCATGATTGAGGTACCATCTTATGCACGCAATTTCAGCCGCGTAATGTTGTCTAAGTTTGGAAGACCCCAACTTTATCATTTATTAACTCTTCCAGAATAGCATTGTCCTTTTGTTTCTTTCTCTGCTGTGGAGAGAGTAAGGTCCTTTGGGAAGTTTAGTATTTTTCAAGTTTTAGAGAAGTAAAACTTGTTTTCCTTTTCTAATTGTTGAATTCTGGTCTGGCTTAATCTCAGATCTTTTGGTTGGGGTTAAATTTGTTCAGTAAAGGAACCTTATATTTCTCAAGTCTGAGAGTTTCCTTTTCTAAGTTACTTCTGATGTTTGTGTTTCCTTTACGGAGGATCTCGTTTGGAAGCAGCTATAGAGAGTGGTACTTTTCTACAATTGGCTGTTTAATTGTCCTCTATGCTTCCTTCTTGTTTAATCTCAGGTTATGAAAAACATTTTCTTTGTTTGTGTATCAAGTCCCCATCTCTTTCTGTTGGAATGTGAAC